AGGATTGCCCAACCTTCCTTCCGAGGAGTGGCTGGTGGGTTTGAACTGCCAGCCGTCTGGTTAGCAGGCAAGTGTCTTAGCCACTATGCTACCAGAGTTAGTCTTCCTAATTTCTTTCCATGAAGTCCAAGAAATAGAACCATAATCAATGGTGCCACCTCCCACCAAGGGCCACCACCCACTCATTGAATTACCTTCCTCCAGTTCGTCCATGCTTCCGATTTTCCTGGATCCATCAATGGTGTAAATGTAACGTACTCCCTGAGGCAGGTTGATGTTGTCAGACAGAGATCGAGTCAGGTCAGCCAGCAAGGCGTCGAAGCTGCGAAAACGGTCAGAGGACACAGCGTATACAATCCCCTTGAAGTAGCGGTCCCCATTGCGGTAGAAACGTACCTTCTTGGCTTTCTTCTCATTGCTGAGTGCCTGCAAGGTTCTGGTTCTGTAGAAGCTACAGTGGGCGCTGTGAGTGGGGCTGGGCAGCCCATTCATCCGTGAGCCTCTCATGTTCCTGGATGTCTTATCTCTTTCGTCAAAGTGTCCAAAATCAAGTTCCATATTTTGGTGGAACCTCAAAGACCTGGGTGTTGGAAAAAGGGGATGAGGGGTAAAGAGAGGCAATGAAAAAGGGGTGAGAAGGAAAAAAAAGGGGAGGGATTTAAAATATTAGCCAGATCCAGATCCGCAATCTGCTGCCTGTGAAAAGAACTGGTTGAAAAAGCCTGTGACCCATCTGCTGCTTGCCACTGACCTGCAGGAATATTGATCTTAATAGAGGAGAAGGAGGGGCTGGGGTGCTGGTGGTTGTGGGGGTTGGGGTTGAGAGATAGGGAGGGAGGCACTTTTGGCACTATTCCAAGCAGAGGGGAGGAGGGACTGTGGAATAGCTTAAAACCCTAGGACTTACTGACAGTGGCTCCTATCAAATTGTAACTTCGGGCTAAATGCATTAAAACTGGCATCTGTTTCCTCACACATGCCCACATGACTAACAGTTGTAAATGAATCCATAGCCTGACAAAATTCCCCTTGAAGAGAACAGAAGGAGCTAGCCAAGGTTAGCATCCCCAGTTCAGGACGCAGTCTCTGCATCTCAGTACAATGAGTATGAAGGGGAGTATTCTAATTTTATTCCAAACGCTTTTTCTTACTCTAGTGTATGCATCCCCTCCCCCCAGAATAAACTAGGATTCCTGTTTAAAGGGACAGCCTCTAGGGAATAGCCAGCGTCTTTGTGCTATTCATCAAACCCTTTCCCCACCATGCTGGTGCAGCTATCTGACATTCATAAGAAATACACTGGGAAAAAAAAAAGGATTAGAAAAATCAGCTATTTATTAATAACTTATTAGCTCCACTTTCCCCTTGCTACAATTTGGTTACACAATACTTATATTTTTTTCTTTTCTTTCTTTCTTTCACATATATTTTAATTTTTTTAGGTGCCTCATCCCCTTCCTAGCACTGCAGCTCCACCTCTTAATAGAACAATTTAATTGTTGAAAGATTCCCAAATGAATCCCTGAACAGCATGTGGGGCCTTTAGAAGCAAGCACACCTTTCATTGTTCTGTGTTTCTACCCTGACTGATGAGGCATTTTGCCCTCACAGCAGGCAATTCACCCCAAACTTGTCTATTGCCCAGGTGTTAGCTGAGGCAAAAGATGGTCCTCTGTCAGGCTTTGCTTCCTCCCCACAGCTGAACCAAAAAA